AAGTCGATACATCATCATTGTTGCCATTCTCTGCTTGTACCCCTTGAAAGCATTCATCGCTAGCTCGACGTAAATGTTGAATAATAATATCAGAAGTAGCACTATCAGCTCTACTATGAATTGAAACTATCATTGATATTTGGAGCAGCAGCACGATCATTTTCATTCTGGTTCATGTCGTTGATAGAGTGTCATAGAAGGTCCAACATGCAGATCGTAGTACTGCATGTCTGCATACAGTCTAGTACGGTACATGTAGCCCCTGTAAAGCATAAAACTGACTTGTCCAAACCTGTTTTGGATTTTTCAAATGTTGCAGATCAAAATTGGAGCTGGAAAATAGCGTTTACAAAACTCTGCTGTATACTCTACATCCAGGAGGTTAACGGTCTCATTTGGACCAGCCTACAGCTCCGCCCATGCTGTGGGCGACTGCCAGGCGTATTGTATAGCGGTACCGTATTGAAACTGATCTCAGTCTTCTACGGGACCTCATTGGTTGGTGGAAGACCCAGGTGGAAAAGCTCAAGGTGGCTTGCAAGTTTGAAAATTGAAATTGCAAATCTCTTTTTATTTTCTCAAGTTTTCCTAAAGCTAACCGCTAACTTCTTTCAGGTTTGATGCTTGTAATAGTTGCTTTTTAATTCTTGTTCTGTATCCAATTTGTTTGACTTTGGGGGGAAACACTTGCAAGCTAGTGTAGTCAGTATCGCTCTTGTTGAAGAAAAATCGGCTGCTTGTCTGAAGACGCCAGCGCCGACCATAAATTCCATCATGATTGTAATATTGTAATGGAGAAGGGATTTGCGAATGGCTGCGACTGTTATCATTACCAGTAGAAAGAGGTAGATATCAGCGAGTATCAAGTTGTACTTGTCTTGTAACTTGCTATGCTTCCCCCAAGGTGTGCGATCACATGTCGTTATGGTGATTTTCATTTCTTGTCGTGGCAAATTTGCAAGGCTGATCCCATCGCCAAGATGCAATAGATCCTTTGAATATCATCTTCGATAGC